CGCGCTCGGATGGGCGTGCGGGCCTCGGCCTGGCGCCTTCTTTAAGTTATTAGCGAGCCACAAATGCCGGGAAGCTCCCTCCCGACCCGGAGCTTGAACTTGAACACTGCCCGGCCTTCGCACACGATCACACCGCCACCTCCCGGCGCGGCCGAAGAACCCACGTAATCGCTGTAAATCACTTAAAAAGTAAAGTAAGTTTTTGGCACATTTTAGCAGTGGTCGAGGGTCAGATAACGGAACCTACCTGCGGTCAGAGGCGCCCCACTCCCTACACTCCGGGGTGCCCCGTCTAGCCGTGCCCCATTCCCATGTTCGTCTGTGCACCTACACACACACACACACACACACACACACACACACACACACTTGTTGCTGTAATGTTCTCCCTCCTGCGCAAATCCTCCTGGCCTTCAGGTTCCTTGAACCCAACTGTTTTGGGAGACTTCTGGGGGAAGCCAGAGGGTATTTGTGCTTAGCAGTCCCCAAGAATAGCCCTAAATAAGGTAGGAAAACCAGCACTCCCTGCAAACACAAAAGAAGTCTTTGTGTCTTCACCAAGTGGTTGACATAAACGGGTCCCTATAGCCTGATGTGGTGGTGACATCTATACACCTGTCAGCTACTTACTTGGGAGGCCGAGGCAGGAGGATGACAAGTTTGAGGCCAGCCTGGGCAACTTAGGAAGACCCTGTCTCCAAATGATTTAAAGGGATCCCAATAATGAATGTAACTGTACTGTATTCCTAAAATGTACCAGTAAACTCAATGAGGAAAAAAAATGATTTAAAGGGGCTGAGAATAGAGCCTAGCATGCATGAGATCCTGGGTTCTGTCCCCAGTACTAAAAAAACCCCAACAAAAATGAGTTGTCCCAAATGTATTTCTGAGCATTAGGAAGCCTGGGTGGAAATGGGTAGAATGCTGCATCACAGCCAGGCCTGGGTACCGCTGGGGCACCCATCAGCCACCCGAGGAGAACTGGGGCACGGTGTGTTGCAGGGTGGAATCACTGCGAAAGTGCTGTCCCGCAGCCACGTGTAGCAGTGTAGGTAGATCTCAGCAAAGAGAAGCCACCAGCCTATGGGTGACTCCGTTCATACAAGTTCCAAAGCAGGCAAGGTCAAATGACATTATTTGGGGAAATATTATAAAGTAGTAAAAGTTGGCTGAACAGCAAGAAGGTGGTTAGCATAAGCATCAGATTGCCGGGCAGGACTGGCACAGAGCAGGGCCTGGGGGGTGTTGGCATGCCATTGTGTTCCAGTAATCTGTCTGGTCCTTCTGCAGCCATCCCTTAAGCTGCACTTTGACATTTTATGTACTTTTCTTTGCTATATTGCTCAATAATCTTTAAATGAGCAAGATTATCACGCTCCTGTCTGAACGGTGCAACCTCACAAAACTTTCCCAACTCCCAGATCTGCACTGTTCTGCCTCTTTCTCCTCAAACACCTACAAAACTGGCTTCTGCCCTAAACCTCTCAGAAGCCTAACTGCTCCGCTGCCGCTACTAACACGAAGGTGTGTGTGGGGAGGCTCTGTAAGGGGAAGCCAGGCTCTGGGAAACTTTGTTGCCAGGCTAGAGTCTCTTAAACACTTCACTGTGTCTCTTCTCTGCTGAGCGCGGACACTGAGGCCCCCTGCTGGTGGAGTGTCACTATTGCAGTCTGTTCTTGTCCTCTAACCCAGAGACTGGGTAGCACAAACAGTTACTAGGTTCAGGTCCTGCCTCTACAGGCTGGGACACGGGGTGTTCCGTTGCCTGCCCTTTTTCTAGATAAACCTGTCTTTTCCCAGTACCAGCCCCTTGGGCAGTCCCAGTTCACACCCCTCCAGAGAGCTCCAGACCTATGCCCCAAACCAAGGACATTCAACTTCTCTCCTCCCAACCTGTTGGTCTTCTCACTGCCCCCACCACCAGATCTAACAGATTTGCCATCCACACAGACTCCTGAATCACCCTCCTCCACTGCCTTCCCGTCCCCACTGTCCATGACTCCATTTGCTCTGTGTGATTGAGTCCTCTGGAGACGCAGCCAGAATCCCTCCAGTCCTGCAGGCACTGCTCCTCCATCCCATCCCCACCTCATCCAGCATGGGGTTGCCCATGGGTCTCTCTTCCTCCTCTTATAAAGCCACTAGTGCAAACACAGACCCCCACCCTCATGGCCTCAGTGATTCTAATTACCTCCCAAATACCCTACCTCCAAATACTATTAATAAACTGGTCATGGTGGTGCATGCCTGTAATCCCAGCACTTGGGAGGCTGAAGCAGGAGGTTTGCCATGTGTTGGAGGCCAGCCTGAAATACGCAGTGAGACCCTGTCTCACAAACCTAACCAAAACAAACCCACAAAATAATATGAACTAATGGTGAGAGCACATGAGAAGTTGGCCAACAAAAATGGACATGGTGGCATGCACCAGTAATCCCTTCACTCTAGGAAACAGAAGCAAGAGGATCACAAGTTCAAGCCCAACGTGGGCAATTTAGTGACTTAACCATACCCTGATTCAAAGGGGGGAGTGCTGAAGATGTAACTCAGTGCAAAAGCCATGGGTTCAATCCCCAGTAGCACAAAAGCAAAACAAGATGCTCATCATAACTGACTGACAGGGAAATGCAAATTAAAACCACAATGAGAGAATAATACATACCTATCAGCTATCAGAATGGCTAAAATAAAAAGTAGTGACAGCACCCAATGTTGGGAAGAAGCTGTGGAGAAACAGAACGGTTCACACACTGCTGGTGGGATGTCCCTACAGCCACTAAGAACGTGTTTTGCAGAAAACCAATGATGCAGCTACTGCATGATCTGGCCGCTGTAATGCTGGACATTTATCCCCATCAGTGATGATTTTGTTTATGCACAAATCTGTATTTGAATGTTTATAGCAACATTTTTGTCACATGCCTAAACAGGACACAAATGGATGTCCTTCAGTGGATGAAATGAACAGTGATGCAACAGAAAGGGTGAACCACTGAGCACACCACTGCTTGGTTGAAGCTTGAGAACATTATGCAGGGTGAAAAACATCAACCCTAAAAGGTCCCATACTGTGTGGTTTCATTTATGTAACATACTCAAACTGTCCAAGTTACAGAAGTGGAGAGGACAGATCAGGGATTAAGGGATAAGTAGGAGGGAAGTAGGGATGGCCACAGAAGGGCCATGTTCAGAAATTCTTGTGGTGTAGTGAGTTCTTTGTGATTTTATTTTTTCTTAGAGTGCTAAAGATTGAAGCCAGGGCCTCAAGTATACCAGGCAAACACTACCACTGAGCTACATCCCCCACCCTTTTGTGTGGTAAGTTCTGTACTCAGTTGTGTGGATGTCACTCTCCTTTTTGTGCTGTTGTACCACAGTTTTACAAGATGTTACTGCTAGGGAACAGCCGGTAAAGGGTACCCAGACTCTCTATTATTCCTTCTACCTGCATATGAATCTGCAATAAATAACTAAATAAATTTAACTTTCAAAAGCACTTGGCTGGGGGATGTAGATTGGATTCTTTTATTTTCTTTCTGTGGATTTTTTTTTGTCGGGGAGGAGACAGAATTTTGCCAGGCAGTTCAGGCTGACCATGAACTTGCTATGTAATCCAGGCTGGCTTCGAACTTGCAGCAATGTTCTTGCCTCATCCTCCCATGTGCCAGAATTATAGGAGTGTGCCACTATGCCCAGCTTTGTTTTATTTTGTTTGCAGGCCAGTCTATTTATTTTCATTTACATTAGAAAATCTGATAACCTCCTCCTTGCTTGATTTTCATTTTGTTTTGTGACAGTCTCACTATGTAGTCCAGGGCCGGCCTTAAACTTTGTGATCTTCCTGCCTCAGCCTTCTAAGTGCTGAGATCACAGGTATGTACCACCTCACCCAGCTCAAATTTCTTAAGACAAACAAATAATGCTACCTTGACCAAGGGGGCGTGGTGGAGGTCAGTGGTAGAGCAATTGCCTGTCATGTTTGAGGCCACGGGTTCAGTCCCAGCAGCATAGCGGACCAGAGGATATGGCAAAGTACTCGTTTGAATTTGCTACAAAAAATGGTTTACTAGAAAATTATATGCCAGGCTTGGGGCACACACTTGTAATCTGAGGTACTCAGTAAACTGAGGTAAGAGAATCACAAGTTTAAGGCTGGTCTGGGTAATTTAATGAGACCTGATCTCAAAAAACAAAACAGAAATGTCATTTGATCCAGGTATACCATTTCTGGGTATATTCCTGAAAGAATTAAAGTCAGTATACATTATGGCTCATGGTATGTGTCCCCTCAAAGCCTCATGTGGATGAGGTAGGACTTTCCTTTTCAGAGGTGGCTGAATCTGCCTGGGTGATGCTGTGATTAAGGACATGTGATTACTAAACCACTACATGTGGTGATTGGTTTGGCACCACCCTAATCCCAGTAGTCTAGATGGAATAGCCAAAAGATGCTATTGAGGTCTCCTGTTGCTTTTGATATCTTTTGCTGCCATGAACTGTTGCCCCTCTGCCACACTGCCTTGGAACCAGCTGATTATGGACTGAAACCTGTATGAACTGTGAGCCATATGCACCTGTCCCCCTTAACTTTGGGTGTTGGGTATTCTGTCTCAGCAATGAGAGAAAAGTAATTAAGACACCAAGATATGTTAAATGCATATACCAGTTTACCAAAATGAGCCTCACAATTCTATTTTATGAACATGCATAAATAAATCAATGAATAAATAAAATAAATGGGACTGAGGATTTAGCTCAGCAATACCACACTTGCCTAGTATTCACAAGGTCTTGGGTTTTATCCCCACTACCACAAAAAATTTTTTTCATTGAATTGGGAATGTTTTTTCTTTTCCTCAAAAGATACCATAAAGCCGGGTGTGGTGGCAGATGCCTGTAACGCCAGAACTTGGGAGGCTGAGGCAGGAAGATCACCGGGAGTGTGAGGCCAGCCTAGGTAACACAGTGAATTCAAGGCCAGCCTGAACTACATAGTGAGACTCTGTCTCTCAAACCATGATCTTGTGATAATGGTGTTTTGATTATCTCAAGACGAAAAGGGATCTTTCTCTTTTAGAGAATCATTCTGAAATATTTTCAAACACTGAGAAGTTGTAATGGAATTTGCTTCAAAGTAAGGAGAGGGAGGTGCTCATGAAAGGCCAGCAATGGACACATAGGGGCTCATTGCACTGTTCTGTTTCTGTATGTATTCAAAATCTTCAGTGTAAATATGTCAAGAGCCATTCTACATAAAATTTGGGGGGATGTCAGGCGTGGTGGTGCGTGCCTGTAATCCCAGCATTCGGGAGGCTGAGGCAGGAGGATCGCTGTGAGTTCGAGACCAGACCTATATAGTGAGTTCCAGTTCAGTCTTAACTACATAGTGAGAACCTGTCTCAAAAAATAAACAAAAAAAAAATTGTGGGATCATGTCATAATTAAATTATGCTCAAGGGCAAGAGTACATCAGCTGAAGACATCCTGGTTGAGAACCAAGTGGTAATGAAGAGAGAGAGAAAAAGAGAGAGGTGTTTCACTTGGTAAGGGACAAATTCCTCATCAGCTTAATCCCTCTCTCCTACTATTCTAAGAATGCTTGGCTCCTCTCATGTACCATGGCCCTCTGAGTCACCCAATGCTCCCTCCGATTATTGTGTGAACCCAATAAATAGTGGCAAGCTGGAGTGTCTTTGTCTTTGCCCACCCTGAAGCACCGACCTCCCAGATCCCCATGATGCAAGTCTCTATTGTCTTTCTTTAGCCCTCACTGTCCTCCTTTCTAAGCAGTCAGAGGATTAATGACCCTCTGATATAGTTTTAAGAAAAAGCATAAAAAGAGAGAAATTGGGTTGTTACACATGCAACCCCAGCACTCTGGGAGGCTGAGGTAGGCGGTTCCCAAGTTTGAGTCCAGCCTAGGCAATTTAGTGACTTAGACCCTGTCTCAAATGAAAAAATAAAAAAAGGACTGGGGATGTGGCTTAGTGCAAAGGCTCTGGGTTCACTCTCTAGTACAGGAAGAAGAAAGGAAGGAAGGAAGGAAGGAAGGAAGGAAGGAAGGGAGAATGGAAGGAAAGAAGGGGAAGGGAAGGGATAAGGGAAAGGGAAGAGAAGGGAGAAAAGGAAAGAAAGACAAAACACAAAAAAGGGGCTGGGGTTGTAGTTCAGTAGGAAGACGGGGTCTCAATTCCCAGTACCCCTGCCACACATACACACAGCAAGAGTAGAAAACTGCTGGGTACCATAGTACTCACCTGTAATTCTAGCTACTTGGGAGGCTGAGGCATGAGGATGGAGAGTTTGAGACCAGCCTGATATTGAGACCTGGTCTCAAAATAAAGCAATAAAAAGGTTTGGAGGTGTAGCTCCTTAGTACAGCATCCCTAAGTGTTCTCTCCAGTATCACACTCACATTCTCACTCACACACAAGTGGAAAACAGCCACAGAATCAGAGAAAATATGTGTACCCTACGCATAGCCAGTACTAAACAGAAACTCACCTGGAATATATAAGAAAATTTCCTTTTCCGTTAATAAAATTTATTTTATTTTCCCCCTTTCCCCTCCTCAAAGCCCCCTCCCCTCCCTTTTCTGATTATGGGGCAAAAGCTTTGTTTCCATTTTTTTCTTCTAGAAAGTTTCATTTCTTTAAGGAAGAAAAATGATAATCCAATAGAAAAATAGATATAACCCTTGAATAGACACTTCAGAGAAAAACTGGAATGATCAGTGTACATGTGGAAGGGTGCTGGGCTCATTAGGACTCAGGGAAGTTGGTATTTTTATCACAGTCGTGGGAGCCACGAGCTGGGGAGGTTCTACAGTGTCAGGAGGGAACATCTGAATGGCCTGTGGCAGCACATCTGTCTCTGTCACACACACACACACACACACACACACACACGCACACGGCTCACACCCTTCTATTGCTCTAACTCTATTGCTGTGTCCACTTCTGCCTCCCACACACCCCTCCTCATCACCTCCTGCCCATTGCTGACATCGGTACCCACGGGGCCCCACCCCATATCCAGTCTCCAAAGGACATTTGATGGTGTCACTCTGTCACCCTTTCACCTGTAGGGTTAAGACAGACTGTGTGGCCTTGTCTCTTAAAACATTCCCATATGGCTTGGAGTGCCACTGTGGGCCCCGCCATCCAGCCCATGTCCCTTGTCCTCACTGTACCCCTAGCCTGGAGCAGAGTTACTGAGGGAAGGCCAATGAGGATGGCAGCTTTAGAGATCTCAGTTTGACCCTGAGACTGTCCCTTATCAGCTCCACTGGGAGCCCGTGTCCCCTTTGGAGCAGTATGCAGTGGGAAGAGGGACTGCTTCCACTGTGCTTGGTGCCTGCGCCCAGCCCCGCATCCTGGCAGGGTGGACTGCCTCCCTTCCCGGAAGAGGCATGTGCTGGATCCCCCATTCACTGGGGGGATTGGGATCTCCTCATTAGAACTGGAATTACAGGGACCTCACAGGCCAGTGGACACTGTAAATTGGGGCCCAACACTCACCCAATTCCTCTGTTCTGGGATCCTGTCTTCCCCATTGCCCCATAAACAGAAAAGGCCCATTAGATGAAGGAGCATCTGGTCTCTGTATGGTCACATCACAGCACTGTAATTGGTAAGACAGGTGGTGGGGTCACTGTTTCAAACCTCTGTGTGTACCCCCAAGTTCATATGTGGGAGACCTGTCCCCCAAGATGATGGGGGGCCTTTGGGAGATGATTAGGTCATGAGGGCAGAGCCTCTGTCAATGGGACTAGTGCCCCGATGAAAGAGGCCCACAAGATCCACCAAGCAAGGACACAGCCAGCAGGTGCCATCTGTCCTCCCCTCCCCTCCCCTCCCCTTTCTTCCCCTTCCTTTCCTTCCGGGGTCAGGGTCTTCTCAAAATCCTGGAATCAGGTGATCTTCCTACCTCAGACTCCTGAGTATCTGGAACCATGGATACGTACCACTTTGCCTGGCAGGCCCATTTTCAGTTGCTTTTAGCCACCCATTCTGTGGCATCTGTGACCCCAGCCCAAATGGACTGAGGCACTTACCAGACTCTCATTGACAAGAGAAGAGTCCTGCTCAGAGCTTGTCACAAAAGTAGGCTGAGTGATTCCCAGAGAGGGACAAGCCCACAGCCCACCTGAACTGGCACTCCCTATCAAGAGACATGTTTGGTCACGGTTAGTAAATGTAGGTGTAGTGAGCTTCTGCTGGCCTGGGTGCCTATTCGTCCTCATCCTACAGATGGGAAACTGAGGCAGGGGGATCACACAACGTATGCTGAACCCAGTAGCTAGGTCCACATGTGCCACTGGCTCCTTGCCACCAGGTGGACTGGGCTCAGCATGGTAGGTCTCTGGGTCCCGCCGACTGAGAGCCACTCAATGCACTTGGCATCGGTAGTCTTGGAACAGTTTTGTTCATAAACCTTCTATGAAATGAAAAATTCTTACTCCCCTCACACATTAAGTTGACACCTAAAATATTACATAAGTTTAAATAGTTACAAAGAATACCACTTCTGGCATATTGTAAATATTGACACTGAAAAAGTAAAACTGTCATATCACTTTAAACAGTGTAACCAGATGGAATATAAATACCACATCAGTTTGATGTCCCACGTAATCCTTTCAAACAGCCCAGGCTCCTCCTCCTCTTTAATGTGTGCAATATTTTATACTTGTGGAACCCATACTCACATTTTAACTCTTCCACAAGTGTTTATCCTCAGGTAACATCTTTACACCTGCAAGTCTCATTGATTACATAGCTCTCTACAATAAAATGTATATATATGAGGGCTGGAGATATAGCTGGGTGGCAATACACATGCCTAGCATGAGCAAGGCTCCAGATTCAATCCCCAGGACTGTAAAAACAAACAATAGTATATATAAATTGAAATCTCAAATTCTCCAAAGCTCCAAGTATTAGAAAAAATTCCTATTTGCTTATCATACGATTATCAGTACACGAGTGATATATTACACATTTTGGGTAATAATGATTAACCATAAAAAGTATAGTTCTGTTGGAAACATATTTCTTTCTCTTTGTTCCTCTTCTTTTTATTTTGTAGTGCTGGGATTCAACTGGACCATGCTGGGCATGTGCCGTACCACTGATCTGTACCCGCAGCCCTGCAAGGGCATCTTTTCAGAAGAAAAGAGCCGGCCTCTCTTTCTCTCTTAGTTCTCAGACCCAGGGAAGAGCCAGATGATGCATGACTGGGTGGAGACAGGGCTTTGCATGAATGCTGTCCCTGTTTCCTACATTTGTGACATCAGTGGCGAGACAAAGTGGCAGGTGGAAGTGGGAAGGAATTCTGTTGCAGATGTTGCTGGATTCTGAGCCTTAGGGCCAACCCCACAGGTCCTCTCCTACCAACAATGGCAGGTAAGGGTCTGTAGTTAGCAGCCCAGGAATCCCACCTACATGGTTTCAGAAGTCAAGAACCAGAAATCCCTGGCTTTCAAAAACATCTTTGTGATCCTCATTGGGTGTAGCCATCTGCGAGCTGTGGTAGATTGGACTACTGTCCAGAAGCAATCATGCCCTCTCCCAGGGAGCAGTTTATTTCTTATTTTTTAGTGCTGAGCTTACCCATGTGACAGGCTAAGGACCACAGGGCATCCTCAGGTCCCCAAGTATGGTTGATCAGTCTGGACTGAGGCTTGGTCCCTATCCAGGGCATTGATAGAAACCATCCTCCCTGTTGCTGCTGCCTCAGCCTGGCCCAGGTGACCTCAGGGCCAAGTCCAGCTGGGTTGTGGCCACCCCTGAGAGCTACCCATTAGCTACTTCCCAGGTGTGGAGTGTTGTGACAAGCAGAGGCTCACTGGCTCAGAAACTGACTGGCTTTTTAAAACAATGGAGACTTGACAAGTTCATTTTCTTGCATGCTTACTGGGGAGTGAGCCCAGGGAGTGTTAAGTAAATGCTCAGCCCCCTACCCCCACTTTTCTGAAAAGAAAGTTTTTTTTTGTGGGGGGTACTGGGGATTGAACTCGGGTCCTTGTACTTGCAAGGCAGGCTATCAACCAGAGCTAAATCCCCAGCCCTCAGTTTTCTGAATTTTGAGACAGAGTCTCACTAACTTGCCCAGGTGGGCCCCCAACCTGTGATTCTCCTGCTCCTGTGTCCAGCTGATTTATTTTTTTCTTTTTAAACTTTTTTTTGGGGGATAGTGGTGAGGATCAAACCCAAGACCTCCCTCTGACATAGTAGGCAAGTGCTTGCCACTGAGCCATCCTGCAGCCCCGAAACTGGGAAGTTCATTTCACAACTGATTACGAAGCTACAGTAATCAGGATGGTATGAAATAGATACAGGAATGGACAGATAAGTGAAAGAGAGTAGCAGGTCTAAAAATGCATCTACACACAGGAGGTAAGATTAAAATATGGTAAATGTTTAAATTTTAAAAATTCATTTTAGTAAAAGGCACATTGCCATTAAGGCCCTAAGAATACACACTTGTCCCATCATTCTTGCTATTTTCTAAAGCAGTTCCGGAAGTCCTCTTGCTCTATTATAGCTGCCACAATGTTCTGACTGAAAATGCTTGCTTTTCATGTTCACACTGACTTTAGGGAAGAGCCAGAAGTTGCATGGTGCCAGATCCAGAAAATAAGGCAGATGACACACAATTATGTTTTAGGAGCCAAGTTCGATGATACTTGGCAACAGCATTCACTCTATTTTTTATCACATTTTGAAAAGGCACTCATGAAAGATGATTCCAGAACTTCCTCAGGAAGTGGCAAGAATGATGGGAAAAGTGTGTTCAAAGTGAGGGTGAATATTTTGAGGAGGATTAATGTCAATGTGTCTTTTACCACAATAAATTTGAATGAGGTGGTTGACCTTGTTCAAGGTCAATTGATTTTTAACCAAGCTACCAGGGCAATAAAATAGAGAAAGGAAGTTCTTTTCTTTCTTTCTCACTTTCTTTCTTTCTTTTAAAGCAGAGATCAAACTCAGGACCTTGCACTTGTGAGGCAGGTGGCCGCACCACTGAGCTAAATTCCCAGCCTCTTCGTTTTTTGATACAGGATCTTGCTATGCAGTTCAGGCTGGTCTTGAGTTTTGTAGCCCAGGCTGTCCTCAAACTGGTGGCAATCTTTCTGCTCCATCCACCTGAGTGCTAGGACTACCAAGCCCAACATGTTTTCTTTTTTTCTTTTTTGGTACTGGGGATCGAACTCAGGTCCTTGTGCTTGTGAGGCAGGCGCTGGAACCACTGAGCTAAATCCCCAGTGCTGCAATGTTTTCAATAAATAGCGCTGCAAGAATTAAGCATTCATATGGAAAACAATGAACTTCAACGTCCATCTTTCTTCACACAGATTACTTGAAGATAAATCATAGATTTGCTAGGGATTTGGCTCAGTGGCACTGTGCCTGCCTCGCAAGTGCAAGGTCCTGAGTTCGATCCCCAGTACCAAAACAAAACAATCACTATTTTCCCAAGATAAATCATAGATTTAAAAATAAAATGTATACTATAAAGTTTTCAGCTGTGGGTGGTGGTGCATACCTGTAATCCTAGCTAGTTGGAAGGCTGAGGTGGGAGGGTTGCAAGTTCAAACTCAACCTGGGCAACTTAGCAAGACCTTGTCTCAAAATAAAAATAAATAAATAAAAAGAGCTGGGGATGTAGCTCAGTGGTATAGTGGAATAGTGGAATAGTGCCCACCTCTAAATACAATTCCCAAGTACTGAAAGTATAAAGAACTTCCTCAAAACTAAGAACTACTAGTCACCAGACAATACAGCAGAAAAATATGAAGACAAGCTACAGACTGAGAAAAAATATTTGTGATACATAGTGGGCAAAGGCCTTGTATCCAGAATATATAAAATAATACTACAAATCAATAATAAAAAGTAAATAATTCAATTTTTTAAAATAGGCAAAAGGAAGCCAGGGATTTAGCTGCCTGCCTCACAAGTTCAAGGTCCTGAGTTTCATCCCTGGTACCCAAAACAAAACAAACAAACAAATAAAAAACAACAGGTAAAAGACTTGAATAGACATTTAACACACAAATTACATTATTTGTTACCAGGGAAATGCAAATTACAACCCATAAAATACCACTTCACAATCATTCTAGAATAGCTAATAAGAAGCAGTACCATTACCTGAGAGGGTATGCAGCACCTGTGAGGCTCATACATTGGGGAAAACTGCTAGTTTCTAACAAAGTAAGCATACAATTACCCTATGACCTAACAATCCCACTTCAGTGATTTACTCAACAGAAGTGAAAGGAATATCGTCAAAAACCTTGTGGACATACATTTATGGCCCCTTTACTCACTAAACCTCACGGTGGAAAGTATCCTGACAGATGTCTGTGAGCGAGAGAATGGATACCATAAATAGTGTATATACACATAGGGGTATCAATCAGCAATTTTACAAAATGATAAACATGCCAGGTGTGGTGGCTCATGCCTGTAATCCTATCACTTAGGAGGCTGAGGCAGGAGGATTGCCACTAGCCAGCCTGGGCTACACAGTGAGTTCAAGGCCAGCCTGAATTACCAAGCAAGACCTTGTCTTAAAAAAAAATGAACACAATAACAGGGATGCATCTCAAAAGCATTAAGAAGGAGCCAGATACAAAAAGTACACACTGTGTGCCTCAATTGTATGAATTAGAGAATAGGCCAGTACTAATCAATAATGATATAAATCAGAACTGTGTGTGCTATGGGTGTGGCAATTTCTTGGAAATGCACTATATCAGTTTGGTGGCTATAGAGGTGTAAATATTTATTAAAACTCATTTCACTGTATGTACATTTGCTTCCATTTTGAAACTGACTCTTCCAAGGCTATTATTACCTACACTCATTTAGAGGTACTGAGTTTAACCTCGAGTATTCAGAAATTGTTGGAGACATAAAAAGAGTACATTTACACCTTTGCCAATAAAATGAATTTTAAAAATCACTACTTTCTTAAACACATTTTGGTCAAACTCTTAGAGTTGTGGCTTTAGCTTATTCAGTTTATGTGAAATCACAGACTTCGGTCTGATTTGCAGAGCCAGCTCTTGTCACAGTGTCCCTAAGGAGACTTTCCCCAGAAGAGGATTCCGTGTTTCAATTCAAATAAGGTGCCATTTCCAGTAGTATTATAGAATCTACTGAGAGATAAACTAAGGAAACCACTTTGTAAGAATTCAAAGTGGTGGTGCACACCTGTAATCTGGGCACTCAGGAGGCTGAGGCAGGAGGATCACTGTGAATTCAAGGCCAGCCTGGACTACCTTATGGTCCTGTCTCAAAAAACAAGCACATGAAACCAAAGAATTCTAAAAGCAGTCAAGGTTTAAATGATAAAGATATAATAAATGTATCTATTTTACTTTATATGTTGCAGGAAGAAAAAAATCAATACACCCTGAAAATTTATAATGATATGATATGATGTGTACCTAGTGTAACATGTTGCTTGTGTGAGGGAAGGCACCGTGGTCATTTGGTAAACACGTGCATGTGTGTACAATGGGTATTTCTGGATGTGGGGATTTATTAAATGAGAAGCCAGTACAAAAATCAGACAGAAGTCACTCTGGCTGCTCACCCATCAATTCTACCTTTTGCTCCTAGGGATGGAAAATACTAAGCATGGAATAAGGTGGAATAAACTGAGGGCTTACCAGCTGGACAACATACAAAACAAAAAATCAGATGGTGATTGACTCAGATTAGAACATTTCTTAAAATTATTTAAGAGGACCAGTTTTACCTACTTTATTACTTAATGCCTACCCAGTACAATACAGATAGTTGGACCTGAGCTTGAATGGTTTTTAACCCATGGCTTTAAAAAATGTGATGGTTCCTACTTCAGTGCTCTCACTGTAGAATTTACCTTTTTATTGATTACCCATGGTGGACTTGCTGGAGAAATTATATTTATTATGCTGTACAAAATACTGTATATGTCTCAGCAGATTGGTAGATTGGGAAATGGAAGAAGACAAAAATTACATTTAATCTATGCATTTTTGCCAAGGCATAATGAGTTATTTTACTACTAGAGACGTTAGGAGTTAACTGTAAAAAAAAAAAAGAAAAGAAAAGAAAAAAAAAAGAACCAGTTTAAAAGCATTTTGTGGGGTACATCATTTCTGTAATTGTATAATGTATTTCTTTGTGGTTTTAAGTGATAAAAACATTAAGTTAACAAACATATAAGAAATGTATGCACTATTTGAAATAAAAATTATTCTTAGAACACTTTCAGTGGGAGTTGCATTGCCCTTTTGGTGCCTTCACTTGAGAGAATTATTTTACTGCCATGATTAAGTATAGAAATTGCCAAAAAAAAGCAGTATTTTTTTCACAAAAACGGGGGGTTTTTCAAAAAATTGTATGTGTCAGTGGGTGTTTTCATTGATAATTGATTTAATTTAAAATATTTAGAGGTTTGTTGGACTTTCATAAATTGAGTACAATCTTTTTATCAAACTACCTGCTATAATAATGTTTTATAAAACTATTTGCAAAAATTAGACAAGGTTGCACCAATATAAAAAGAAAAGTATGTCAATACATCCGTTTTCCAGTTAACACAGGAATTAACAGATAAATACTGTTAAACTTTTGTTATGTAACAGGAGTTTATTTATATGGGCACAATGATTTATTGTTAATTTTTTTAACCAAATACCTCCTCAGTAATTTATAATGGCTTTGCAGTAATGTGTATCAAATAAGCACTGGAAAATGGACTGCCTCTAGGATGATATGCATGTTTCAAGTGGTATTGAAAGCTGCATTGATGGATACGTAATAATAAACATATGTTATTAATATGAAAAAATGCGATGGTTCTAGGCAGGGGATTTAGCTCAGTGGCACTGTGCCTGCCTTGCAAGCACAAGGTCCTAAGTTCAATCCCCAGTACTGGGAAAAAGAATTGTGATGGTACCAGAAATACTCCAGTTACACTTCAGAGTTATTGAACCATCACAGGTTGACTCTGAAGGTGTTTTCTCTATCTAATGTCATGCCAACTGGGATAAGGACTGAGATGGAGAGAATTGCCTAAATACATGGAAAAGGCTGGTTTGGGCATTTGGTGTTTTTTTTGTTTTTTGTTTTGTTTTTCTTTTAATCTATGCTCTGGCTTTGCTCCCATCTCCTCCAGGCTGCTTATATATATATATATTTTTTTTTCAGCTTTAATTGAGTTTATTGGTACATTTTAGGGATACAGTACAGTTACATTCATTGTTGGGATCTTGTACCTCTACATGACAAGTTTTGATTCTCATTTTTTCCCCTTACCTCTGCCCTCCCTTCACCCCCTCCTCCCCTCCCCATCTACAAACACTTTATTTTCATCTTTTCATTCTCTCACATTTTTTTCTTTTCCCTTTTTACTCTTCCCCCACCCATCCCACCTTCCCTACACCTTTAGCTCCTTTCTTCCCATTTCTAAATGTCAGTAATCTTATTAGAATCTTATGCATTGTTGCAGATTATTCACACCAGGGAAACTATTCGGTATTTACACATGTGTGACTTATTTATTTCACTTAGGAGTATATCTTCAATATGTATCCATTTTCCTATGAATGAATCTATTTTCTCGTTCTTTATGGCTGAGTAATATTCCATTTTATAGAAAAACCACATCTTCTTTATCCAGTTTCCAACAGATGGGCAAATGGGCTGTTTCCAAGATTTAGCTATTACAAACTGTGCCACTATAAACATGGGTGAGCATACATCACTGTGATATGATTCTTTTAGTTCTTTTGGAAAGATACCCAGCAGAGGGATGGCTGCATCAAATGGAACCTCCAGTCCAAGCTCTTTGAGGTATCTCCATATTGATTTCCATAGTGGTTGCACCAGTCTGCACTCCCACCAACAATGGAGAAGGGTTCCTTTCTCCCCACAGCTCCGCCAACAATGGTTATTGTGTGATTTCTTGATCAGGCTGCTTATATTTTGTGGGAGTGCAGAAGTTTTCTTCCCTGGCTAAGGTTTTTGTTTTGTTTTGTTGTTTTTTGTACCAGAGATCACACTCAGGAGGACTTTGTCCTTGTGAGGCAGGCAGTGACAGCAGTGAGCTAAATCATGGCTCTCCAAGGTTGAGATTTTTAAATGTGAACATGGCAACAGGGTGGGGACACTGTTAGACTTAACACAACTAGGATGTGGGCCTGTGTTAGTCCTCTCAGGGAGATCTTAAGGCAATGGGGTATTGTCTGAGATTATATGCACTGGGCAGTGGGGGCAACATTGTGATTAGGGGTCTTAAGGATCTTACAGGAGGAGAGGCCAGGGTGAGGCTGAGCTGAGATCAGTAAAGCAGTGGCTGTCACTCATCGTAGCCAGGCTGGTTGCTCACCAGCACCTGCCAGGGCCGGAAAATACATATTCTGTCATGCCCACCGGGTTCCTGAGAGAGGGCTTGAACCATCTCGTCTCCTGCATGGTCTATTTTTGTTTTGGTTTGGTTTGGTTTTTTGAGATGAGGTCTTGCTATGTAGTCCAGGCTGGTATTGAACTCAAGGTAATCCTCCTGTATCGGCCTCCCAAGTGCTGGGATTACAGGTGTGCACCACACTCGGCACCAAGCATGGTCTTAAAGTCATACCTCATGCTCTCTTTGGGTCACCTAGCTGGTACTGGTGAGCTTATTCAGGCTGTATGCTCCCCCTCTAGGGAAGGGGCCCACGGCAGACAGCAGCTCTCAAATCCATGTTTTTCATTTTAGAGTAAAATAGTCTGGAGCCACGCATGGTGGTACACACCTGTAATCCCAGCTGAGGCAGGAGGATTGGCACAAGTTCCAGACCAGCCTGGGATATACAGTGAGACACACGTACAGACAAACAGAAATAGAATTTGGTTGCAGGAAGTTGTCATAGCACAATGTGTGCCCCTGCTCTGACTCATGAAAATGGGATATACTGCTACACTGTGTCTGCAGATAGCAGATTGGACCTGTTCATCTGGAGGTTTCACCATGGCTTGTCCTTCCTTGCCACTGAGCAGTGAAGAAAATAGAAAATTACAAACCACATTTTTAAACAGAGCTTCTCTATATGGCTTTTCCACCCCTGTAACTGCTGTTCTGATTCTAGAATGTGAACCAAGACTGCCTGTAGATGAGACTTGTAGAAATTTTACCTTGTGGATGAGAGTAGGGTCTTATAGAAGCTGAAGTATTGGAAATTATATGGTGTTTAGAGATTTTAAAATGTCTTTTGTAAGAATGCGAAGATAGACTCTCACACCAACAGTGATCGCACTGGTTTTTCATCTTAACCTACAGTAGTCCTAAAGTTTTTTTGTTTTTTGTTTTTTGAGACAGGGTCTCACTATGTAGCCCAGACTGGTCTTGAACACACAGTGATCCTGTGATCCTCCTGCCTCAGCCTCCTGAGTGCTGGGATTGCTGGTATATGCCACCACGCCTGGCTAGTCCTAAACTTTTTATTAACTTGAGTCTTGGACTAAGTTGAGTTAATTACTAAGAAATCTGCCTGAAAACTTTTCAAAGGAATTAAAATTCACACAAAATCCTGTGTTTATTCTGTTTTCTTTGTAAATAATTTGTTCTTCAAAACACCGAAATTAGTGTAGTAGTAGAATCAACCAGTTTTAAACAGGGCTTCATACTCCGCATAATTGATTGCTTTTTTTTTTTTTTAAACCAGAGTTTAGGTAATACTGCCACATAGGCATTGTTTGGGGTTTACATGTTTGTGTGTGAACAGCCATGTCAGGACAAGAGAAGATTCATACAGAAAGCAACCTGTGAAAGGCCCCGGGAGGGCTGTCATGCAGGGAGCTCAAACTCCTATGCTGTCTCACATTTTGCCCAGAAGTCAGGTTTTTCTTCTTCCAGGTGACATGTGCTTGTGATTCTCCAGTTGGTTAATCTTTGTAAGGATCTCACACAAGGTCCTTTGTGCCAGGTTTCACATGAGTGCTTGAACCCAGGGCAGCAATAGCTCCTCGCCTCATGAGAAGCCACACCAGAATCCATGTAACTGTTGTGCACTCATGCAGACAAAGTCCCAGACGGCTCTATCTTCCTCCAGGTGCTGCTGCTGCCCGTGACTGCAGGCCAGCTCCTCCTTCTGCTGCCCTCCTTGAAGAATGGGCCCCAAAGAATGGCCAAATGGCAGCATCTTGGTCCCGTGCTGGTCTGGGTGCATCTACATCTACCGTCCACCCAGTCTTGGCCCAAGCATCGATGTCGCCACGCTGCTGCTGGAATGAACCGCCCTGGGAAACAAACATCAGCATGTGTCACAGAATGCTCACGAGAAACTAGTATGAAAGTGACATGAGGCTGTGAAGCCGGGCACATCAGGAAGCGGGACTACCAGATCTGTTTAAACCATTGTAATAAATGTGCCACTGTAGTGGTAAGCACAAATGGGGCCCTACCCTCTTCAAAGCCACTGCTTTAATGACTGAGAATAGAGCCCAGTGAGATCCCAACACAGGACTCTCTTGTCTTCCCAAGGGCTAAGCTATTTTGGGTCACCCTGAACTGATAATGAGAAAAATTCAGGCAAACACAAACAGGGCCAATTAGTATTACTGGCTTGTGTTCTCAACAATACAGTATCATTAGGTATGGTGGTGCACACATGTAGCCTTAACACTTTGAGAGGCTGAGGTAGGAGGATCACAAGTTGGAGCTGAACCTGGACAACTTAAGTGAAATAGTCTCAAAATAAAATAATGAAAAAAGTCTACAAAATAAAGTATCATAAAAGATTGGATTTGGGGGAAATACTATAAAGGATATTTTGGGTGAGCCCTGTATGAAGTAAGATTAAACTTTATGAGTGGGATACTTAGGCTGTGTTTATGTAAATAAGTGCCCTTGTTCCTAGGAGATGCATACTGAAGTGTAGAAAGCTTATACTAGTCTTCTAGGACTGCTGAAGCAAAGAATCACAAACTGGGTGGCTGAGTACAATCTATTCTTATGGTTCCAGAGGTGAGAAGTCTGCAACGGAGGCATCTGCAATGTGTCTGCTGGCCCCGGGGGAGTCTATTCAGTGCCTCTGTTCAGCTCGGTGATCCTCGGCCTTTCTTGTTCTGTAGTCCTTCCTCTCAGTCTTTGCCTCAGTCGTCACCTGGTAAGCTCCCTGTGCGCCA